GCAGATCGACGAAGCACACTGCTGAGGGGAGCAGCGGGCGGGTCAGGAGAGGTCTGCCACACCATGTGGATCTCCTCCAGGGCAGGCAGGGATCGAACTCATGCGTAAGTGGCTTTAGCTTCTTAGTGCAGTGCTTTAACCCGCTGCACCACCAAGGAGGGCCTGGAAAATACAGATTCTAAAGGTTTTTTGTGGCTTTTACCAGGTCACCTAAACTTTTTACAATCAAACTTTTTAGATTTAATTTTAATTCTTAGTTTACTAATCTCAAGGCTTTTTTTCAGGCTCAAATGAGATAAGATATGGCAAAAATGCATTAAGGCTTTAAAGGACCTGACAATGAATAGTTGTTAGAATATCATTATGAATGATAATATTTATTGTATGTCCAGAAACATGATTAATGGACTCCTCTCAGGGTGAATGCAGGTTTTTGGAAAGGTTAGAGTTGAACTTGGTTTTGAAGAATGAAAATAGGATTTTTTATAGGCACTGTTGAGAATAGTAAACAGCGCAAACCAGAGACAGCAAAGATAAGTTAAAAGGTTAGAATTTCAGGCACTCACAGTGTATTTATTTACTTGGAGATTTACTCATGCTTTTAAAAATTATTTATGAAAGTACTTTTAATTACAATCTACTAGATAATCAGCTGCTTAGTCCAAATTACCAGCATTCTGATTGATCATGTAACTGACAGTCTCAGAAAAACATTAGTAAATTTACAAAAACCTAGTCTCAGGTGCCTGCAGGATAATTGTCAATAATTTTGTGCTTTGAAGATTGGGAAAAAAATTTCTGTTATCTTAAAGAATGAAAGATTTGACTGAGGGGCCCCTAATACTCTTATTTCACTGGCGTTTCTCTATTCTATGCCTCTCTTACTAGTAGATCATAGGGAGCAATAAAATATGTGAAGTTTTAGGATATTTATTGCCAGTGCACAACTGTGTGTTATTTTCAAAAGGACTTTTACTGAATCGGCTTATAGACTGATAGCCCCACTCTTCTTGGAAATATCCTGAAATACTTAATCCTTTAGCCTTTAAGGTAGTGGTTTGCAAGCTCAAAACTATTATAGCAATGAAATTGCTAATCAAACAAAATTTTGCATAAAAATCTAATTTTAAAGAAAATGTAAAAGAAGGGTTACTTTATGTGACATAAACCTATATTTTATGACACACCTTTTAGGTTCAGGGCAACATAACTTAAAAGGCATTATACTAACTCCAAACCATTTCATAGGAATGAGTATGGTATTTAATACCATTGAGTGGGAAAAGAACTAACTTGAGTTTTTCATTAGTTGTCTTAAATTGGTTTGTTCAAGTCTCTTAAAGGGCTTTTTCTAAATTTTTAGTATACAGATCATTTTGTTTATAAAATCAAATGTGTTTGAGTATCTAAAGATAAATTCACTTATAGTGACTGAGTTTCGATTATCCTTTAAATTTTTGCTTGAGATTTATTTGGTCCTGCTTCTTTCATGGTATCTGTTTATGTATTTGTTTATTTAAAAGCATCCTTAGAATTTTCTTGAACAAAAACATTTATCAGTTGTCCAAAGATGTGTAGTTCATAATAGCTATTTGTGCATTGTCTTTCTAACTAATGAGCATATATGTTTTGGTCATTCTTTTTGTGATTTGTATGATATAATTCAACATATATCCCTTAATTTAGCTCAAAAGTATGTCTACTTAATGTTAACTGTAAGCTATGTTTTATACTAAAGCACTTACAAATACCCTTTTCATTATTTAAATCATTGCAGGTTTTGACCAAACCGTGCCATTCTTAAAACGTCCTGCTTCTAGAGTAAACAGTGTTAATCCAAAAAAGCCAAAGACCAATGAAGGTATTACTGAAATAAATGCTTCTGCTTCAGTGTCTTCGATTAACTCTTCTTCTGTGACACCCTCCCAGGCTGTGATGGCTAAAGGTAAGCCTGAAATCAGAATATAAAGAACACATTGTACTTTGTTTACATAAATTTTAGAATTGTGATAAGTTTAGAAACTATTATTGCTGATTGTTGAAGATCTGAAAAAGAATTTGAGTTATAAAAGTTCTTAATTTATTTTAGGTACAAATATCTCATCAGCTCAGTATAAAACTGGAAAGCCTTTTCTAAGATCTTGTCCAAAGTGCAGTGTTCAGTTCAGTCTTTTGGATCCCTTGAAATACCACATGAAGGTAAAGTTTTCAGAATTTGATTTTTTTTTAAATATTCACAGATCTCTGAAAATATTAAAGATTGATATGTAGTGAATGTTGGTTTGTCCAGATATTTGGATAAGAAATCTCACTGGTATTTTCTTAAAACTTAAGTAAAAATTCATGTTATCTTTTTATAAGATTTTAAAATCCTACCCAGTCAACAAATTTTGGAAGTTTATATGCACTCTAGTCTATGCATATTGTATTTTAATTTTTAATAAAAACAGTATATTAATCATAGTATTTTGCTGATTAGGTTGTGCTATTCTTTAGTCTTCTGAAATAGCAGGCATTTTCTTTGGTGCTTAATCTTTCATGTAACTTAAAATTCCCCTTTTTTACCTTTTTGACCATGTGACCATAGGCATTTAATTTTCAACACTCAAATGTAAACTCCTAATTGTGTAGCATTTCATAAGAAATGATAGTTTTAATTTAAGGTAGAATGTAGTTTGTGTAGTTGTTACAAATAAATTCTAGCTCTCTATCGGTACAGAAGCCCCTCAAAATTAGGCTTTAGGTAATTTTCAAAGACTGATGGAATGCAAGGTTTAGGTAACACTACACTTAAAATATTTGAGTAGAAATTACAGCTGTATCTGTGGAAAGATGATTGATAGTCTCCTTACATGCCCAACATAAATGGCTGGAAGGGGAAAAGGAGTCAAGAAGAAAAGCGATGTAGATTGTATGCAAAGACCGAGAAATAACTTAGGGAAAACTTTTGCCTACTATTTCAAAGATTGGCAAGCTTTTGTTGAAATTCATTATTTTACAGAAAGCCTAGAAAGAGAGTGCTCTAAAATTCCAAATATAATTCTTTAGACTTGGACAAAGCTGTATATAATCTATCACTACTTCCACCTCCCTTAGTGTAACTCCTCATAACTGGGTTTATGTAAGAAATAACTCTGTAGGTGCTTTTAGTAATGATGTGTATATACTTGATACTTTTATCTTTTGTGTTGTAGATGGAAGCAGGAAAGAAAAGGCTAAGTTTTAAAGTTATCTTTATTTTGTTCTGGAAGTAATATAGGCACATGATTCACAAAGTTTTAGATACCAGATATATAAATCATAAAATCTTACCCGCATCTCTTACTTTCCTAGCACAGTACAAATCACAGAAAGAATAATCTTTTTATTAGTGTATTTGCTATTATCTCTGACTTTCTGCATGTATAGTATACATTAATGCTCTAATTTTCCTTTTTAACATGCATAGCATATTATAAATACTTCTGCACCTGGAGGAAGTGGCATTTTCTAAAATGTAGCTTCTATTTATTGTAACATTATTTGTGATTAAATCTATGAGAGTAACTTTTTAGCTTATATATTTTCATATTAATTTTTTATATTATAGAAAGGATTTCAATTAAAAAATTAGTTATTTGTGAATGATCTTTTGCTATTATTCTTGAGAAATAGATTATTATACCACAGCCAAAAATCTGTTTTACGGGTGCTGCTATTTAGGACATAGATTCTTCTATCTTTTTTGTGACTGTATCCTTCAACATTTTTTGAATACAATGTTACTTTTTGATCTGAGTACTATTTTGTTTGCTATGAGGCTCACAACCCTTGCTTCTTTATTAGTCCTTTTGCTTATTATGCTCTTTATATTTTTACTTAAAACCCTTCCACATCACTTTGCTTTTGGTGCTTCTTGCTTTCACCTAAGTTTTTTCTCTTGCGATCTTGTATGAAATCTTTTTTTTAGTTGTAAAATTCATTTATATTTATTTATAGGATAGATTTACATGGTCTAGTAGGTTTAATCGGTCTTGATCCTGTCATAATTTTTATGCTTTTTTTTTGCTTTGTGATTGCATTGTATGTAATAGTTTGAGTGTTTTGGTAAGTTTGTATTTTTGCTCTCATTTCTTTTAAAGATTTATTTATTCGTACAGAACTGGGGTACCGGCCAGAGATGCGGAGGATAAGAGGATTCACCAGAGACAGAGCAGGGAGCAGAACAGGCAGATCGACGAAGTACACTGCTGAGGGGAGCAGCGGGCAGGTCAGGAGAGGTCTGCCTTGCCATGTGGTCACCTCCGGAGCAGGCTGGAATCGAACTCATGCGGAAGTGGCTTAAGCTTCTTTGTGCTGTGCTTTAACCCACTGCACCACCAGGGAGGGCCCGCTCTCATTTCTTTTTTAAAGAGTTCTTCTAGAGAAATTTTACAACTGAAAACTGTTACCAATTTGAGGTCTTAATTTTATTCAAGAGGTAAATTTCTCCTTGAAGATATTTCCAGCATTCTCTATAGAATGTACTGAGATTTTCATAATGTAACTGGTGCTTCTTTCTTTGCATCCTCTATATTTTCTAGAACCTTGCGTCTGGGGAACGGCAAGTTAAAATGTGCTAACAATTCAGTACCCACCAGGTAGTACTGAAATACTACTATATTATTTGATAATTAAGCATATACATAATGCCATATAAAACTACCTTTCTTTTTATACAGTATCTTCACACAGATATGAAACACAAGGTGTTTTTTTTTTTCTTTTGAGGTGACTTAAAATTTTTTTGTTAGGGTTTGTGAAAATTTTTGCTTCTGCACTAATTTTACTTTGTTTTGTCTTATTGATTTTTTTTTAATATTCTTACACTGTTTCTTATTCTTGTAAAATAGTTCATTTCTCCCGTCAGGTGTATCCCCATAGTAGTTCTCCCACCACCACAGTACCCTGTGCTCTTCCCTTTCCTGTTTGGCCCCTCCCTGTCAACTGCTATATTCCTCAGGTCTATAATTTTCCTGCAAGTTTAGTCTTGAAACATAAGATTTTTGACCAAGGAACAAATTATTACTAAATGTTTACATCAGAAAAAGGTTAATTGCAAGAAAAGGGGTATTAGATACAGCCATCCCCAATATTAAGGTTTTCAAAGAATGTTTTGAGTTATTTCTTTAAAAAAATGTATTTACTGTGAAAATTTTTAGACTACATAGAAAGAAGCCAACATTTTGGTAAATAACTTTCCAGATATATTCTCAAACATAGTTTTATATGAGTTTATCCTAGTTATCAGCATAGTATCATCTTTTATTATTTAATTTTTATAAGACCTCAGGCCTCTGGTGGCATAAGGGGTTAAGTCTCAAGACTATGAAGCTATCATCAGATAGCTGACCCACATGGCAGGGCAGACCTGTCCTGTCTTACCAGCTGCTCCCCTCAGCAGTGTATCTTCCTCATCAGTAAATCTTCCTGTTCTGCTCCCCCACTCTGTCTCAGGTGAATCCTCTCACCCCCTCTCCACACAGACATATCTCTGGCCTACACCTTAGCTGTTGTATGTATTAATAAATAAAATAAATCTTTAGGGCCCTTCCTGGTGGCACAGTGGGTTAAAGCACAGCACTATGAAACTATTGCAGCCACTGCAGCACAAGTTAAATCCCCAGCCAGGGAGGTGACCCACATGGTGCAGTAGACCTCTCCTACCCACCCGCTGCTCCCCTCAGCAGTGTATTTCAGTACATCTGTCTGTTCTGCTTCCTGCTCTGTCTCTGGTGTATTCTCTCACCCCCTGCACCTCTGGCCTGTACCCCAGTTCTGTATGGATAAATAAATCTTTAAAAAAATTACAAGACTTATATCTTTTTCTCTTTCAGCATTGTTGTCCAGACATGATAAATCACTTTTTGGACATGATTAAGGCAGAACTTTCAACTACCGAAAGCAGTACTGATGCAGAGAAAGGAAAATTGATCATGTTAGTTAGTGACTTTTACTATGGAAGACATGAAGGAGCTGTTGATGATGAGCAGAAGACTTACACAACCTTTAAATGCTTCAGTTGCTTGAAAGTTCTTAAAAATAACATTAGGTATGTAAATGACTATTTCAATTTTTGTTTAAAATTGGGATGTTATGATGTAAATATTTTTTCTTTGCTTGCTATCCCAGTAGTGTGACAGAAGAGAAATTGCTCTTTGACATATAACACTGAAACAATGTTACAATAAATTTGTCACCTCCATTCATATTTTTAACATTTCACCATAATATACATCAGAAAATGTTAAATTGGGCAAAATGAACAGAAATGTGGTTCACTGTTAGGTTCCTTATTATAGTTAAACATCATGAATAATATGCGTATATAGTTATTTTAATATTTAGGAAATTTGTGGGTTTTTTGAAATATTTAGTAGATATTAGAAACCCCATCAATAAATGCTGGATAACCAAAAGTGTTATATGTTTTAAATGACATTTTACCTTGGTGGTGGTAAAATTAGGATTGCAGAGGATAGTAGAAGCTAATAGCTCACAATTCTACACTATCAGCATATTTTAGGGTATTTTATTCCTACATTGGTTGTCACCAAAGCCAGTTAGGGCTATTTTATTCTGAGAATAACCTTCTGAGGGGTTTGCTTTTCTCTCCCAATTTACATCTTCTTGTTGGAGAAGTATGAGGGCAGTATAGTAATCGAGAGCCAGCTGGCTAGTCAAGAGATTATTTTATGTAGATAGGTTTTATAACTGAAAGTTTAATTGCATGAAATATTTGGACAAGGCTAGAAGTTTTTAAAAGACTTAACAGAGGTGATGTTAAAATAAAAGGAGGAAAAATTCTACTTCGAAATGTTCCATAACGGGGTCTAAAGATAATAGCGATTTGAAGGTGTGAGAAGATAGTTTAAATTTCCATGGTGATTAATACCTAGGTTGATGCCATTGTCACATTGCGTCAAGACTGTTTCCATTAGGGCAGCATAATGAATAACTGTTAATATTTGACCCAGTCTAAAAGTGTTATTATGATTGAATACCTTGACTTTGAAACTCAGCAAAATGTCTTAATAAGCCCTTTGCCATAGATATATGTGTTTGTATTTGTACTCTGCCATTGAAGGTTATATAGTTCCTTCTTACAAGAAGGAATTAAAGGAAATCTGAAATAGCAGAATATATAGCTGAAAATGGACATTTATATGTACCAAGGGCACAGTCCGCAAGTTAAAATGAACGATTTGAACTAACAGTAAACCAGAATCATTAAATAAGAGATTCTTATACTTACAGGAAATGCTACTACATGCATTTAGAATACAACACAAAAATACCAGTATTTTGACTTTTAAGCAGGTAAAACCTATTATATATCTTCAAGGCCTTCAAAATATTTCTCTCATGACTCTGTAGCTTCTTTTCCTTTAAATGTATTATCTTAAAATGTAAATATTATGTCATGTATGAAACCTGCTCTTTCTCTTTACCAACAAAAAATTTAAAACAATGAAAAGGAGTTATATAGCAAACTTATGGTACTTCCTATTAACTACAATAATGGGTCGTTTTAAAATAAAGATGGCAAGAAGTGCTTACTGAACCACTTAAAACCCTAGAGGGCTTTAAGACTTTGGAGAGCTTTTGAGTTCTACAACCACATGTTTTAACATTTAGATTCAGATACTTGTGTGAGGTTTCTTTTTGATCATAAATCTGAATATTTTACCTATTGACAATCATTTATAGGTTTATGAACCACATGAAACACCATTTGGAACTTGAGAAGCAGAATAGTGAGAGCTGGGAAAACCACACCACCTGCCAGCACTGCTACCGTCAGTACCCCACACCCTTCCAGCTGCAGTGTCACATTGAGAGCACACACACCCCACATGAGTTTTCCAGTAAGTCACAACTTCCACAAAGTCCTGACATTCATGATTTTGATAATGGAAACTGTGGAATCCTTAAGGATTCTGATAGAAAAGAAGTATATGAAATAAGCTCTGTAATTTGAGGGCAAAGTTAATGAAGAAGTTTTAACTTAAATAAACTTTTCAATAAAATTACTTGTGAATAGAAACTTCCTTGAAATATAACTCATGCATTATATGTCATAGGAAACTAAATTAGAAATCTCTGTTTCTGGTTTTCAAATAGGAAATCAGTGATCTTGATTCACACTCTAATAAGAAAAGTAACTGCATCTGAAGAGGTGTGAGCCTGTTCCCTAAATCATACAGTGCTATAAACAAGTGTTACCTCAAAAACAAGAATATTAAAAAACACTATAAGTGGTTTAGTTTTCTCACATTAACTGCTTTCTACCATTTTATTCTTATGATTCATAAATAAAAGCAAGCTTTTTATTTAAAATGAAGATTAACTGCAATGATACTTAAAATTAGAGCTTCGCATTTGCTCAGATTTAATTCCTAGCCTCTTAACACAGCTGTGAGATCTCAGGCATGTTACTTAATCTTTCAATGTCTCACCTTCCTCATCTGAAAAATGAGTATAAAAATAGTATTTATCCCAGTGAACATATGAGAATTAAGTAAGCTATGTAAGTACAGTTCTTAGAACAACATTAAAGAGTTAAAAGAATATATAGAATTATTGGAACCACAATCATGAGTACTATAATTCTTACTTACTGTTGCTGATGTAATGGATGTTACAAAATGAATCTTTTATTTATATGGCCTTACAATGATATAATGTTCTTTCCCCAATTTCAGCTATTTGTAAAATTTGTGAATTGTCATTTGAAACTGAGCACACTCTTTTACAACATATGAAGGACACTCATAAACCCGGTGAAATGCCATACATTTGCCAGGTACATGCATATTTTATTATGTACTTATGTGTTTCATTTTCATGTGCCACAAACTATTGTACTTTTGATTTATTCAGCCATTTAAATAAAGCTAGTTAGTAAAATTGAAGACCCACTTCAACAGTGGAAACACCCTTAGTTTAACTCATGTGTCTGTGGGGCTAGTGGGGGTGGATTTGACCTGTGGGCCATAGTTTGATGACCCCTGTGTTAAAGAAACAAAGTGCCCTGCTGGATTTTCTTGCCTTATAGGGAAGAATATAGACATAACAGAGAAATGGGAGGCGGCTGTTTGTTGTGGGGAACTCAGCTAAATGCTTTGGGGCCAATGATTTTTCCAGAATTTGAATTGGCTCCTACTATGATGACATAATAAAGATAAGCTGCCTCTAGCATAGCCTGGATGCTATTTAAATTTCAGGGCAGACAATATTTTATATAGCAGGGAAAACCTTTAAAGGACAAAAGGTGTTGGAGTTTGAAAATTCAAGATGTGGGGTAATAGATCTGAAATTCCTTCTTTGTTTAGGAATATAACCCTAAACTTTGAAAGATAAATTTTTCACTTCTCTGTTCCAAAAGATTGTTTTTCTTTCACTGATAAGATTTCTGTGTACAACAACAGAGCTGAATCAGCAGAGCTGATTACTCATCATTGCTACTTTGATGTAATTGCATGTCAGTTATAAATTTTCAAATTCAACTAAACATTCTTTATATTTTCTAGGTTTGCCAGTTTAGATCATCTATATTTTCTGATGTAGAAACTCATTTCAGAGCATCCCATGAAAACACTAAGAACTTGCTTTGTCCATTTTGCCTCAAAGTTAGTAGAATGGCAACCCCTTACATGAATCATTACATGAAGCATCAGGTGAGATCTGGCAGTTCTTATTTGTTCATTTAATCTTAGTGAAAGTTATTTACATTAATTAAGTCCTCATTTAATGTCATTGATAGGCTTTTGGATGGGACCTTAGTGAAACAACATATAACAATTCTAATTTTACCTATGGCCAATTAATATAAACAAGACTTAAATTCCTACCATATTTCTGATCACAAAAAATATCATCAAACTCCTAAAGTAAAGACCCACAACACTTCTGATATTAAACAATTGTTTATATTCATTCATTCATTTGCCAACCAACTTATTCCAGTTTAGGTTCCTAGGTGGCCTGAACCTATCCTGGCAGCTCATTGTGCCAGGGGATATCCTGGGCATGATGCCCTTCTTCCACTATGGGGCATACTCACCCCCATATTCCCTCCAACTGTAACAGTAGATGTGTCAAGCAGCCTAATGTGCACATATTGGGAATATGGGGGGAACCGTGCAGACAGGAGGGGAATGCACAAACTCCGTGACAGTGAGCCCAGCAGGGAATCGATTTTTGTTCTTATTAATGTTAAATGAAATGACATTATTGGACGACCTGCTGTATCATAAAACACAGAATACTGGGCTTTCCCTGGTGGCACAACAGGTTAGGACGCAGCACTGCAAGCTGGCCGCAGCTTCTTCAGTGCGAGTTTGATCCCCGGCCCCGGAGATGGCTCGGCAGACCTCTGCTGAGCCGCCCACTGCTCCCTTCAGCAGTGCACTTCGTCGATCTGTCTGTTCTGCTCCCCACTCTGCCTCTGGTGAATCCTCTCACCACCCCTGCACCTCTGTCCTGTACCCCAGTCTGTATGAATAAATAAATATATCTTTAAAAACTAAAATAAAATAATAAAAAACATAGAATATTAGTTAGATTTGTTCTATAAGGAAAGCAAAATTTTCCAAATGATGCAATTAATTTATAATTTATCCTGAATTACTTGTGAAACTTTAACTTCTTTTCCGTGTCCATATCTTGGTGGTGATAAGGCTCATTAATAATGAAAATTCTGAAAAATAGGTAGAAATAAGAATCCTAGAATGGAAGGGGAAGAGAGAAGATGAGTGGGAGATTTAGGTTGGATATTTTTGGGTGAGAATGAAAATGATTTTGAAGGCAGATAGCAAGAGCAGGGGAAATGGTAGGTTTAGACTGAAAAAGTTAAGATTGAAGACATACTCTTCTGCTTTCCTCTTTCTCTTCAAACCGAATTTGTACTTTTTATCCTGGTTTTTACTGTAAGACATGTGGTTGTCATTATTGACCTATAATGGTCTTTTGGGTCCACTAGGGGCAAAGATAACAGTGGCACTTAATTGCTAGATGGCTATGCCAAAGAATTGTATTTCGGCTGTCATTTCTTTGCTGTTTAATTCTAGAATGCCAGTATTACTGCTTATATCTTTCCTCAAACCCTCATGCTTGCTGGCTCTTATCCTGACACAATCAAAACATCCTTATTAGGGTTGAATACTTTGATCAAACAGTAAGCCAATTCTTCGGGTGTTTGAAAGAGTAGCATACATATGCTAAAATCAGAAGTTAAAAAAAAAAGTCAGAAATCAGTGAGTTTATTGAATCTGACTAATCAAGTTTGTCTCCTCAAAACTTGTGATCAGTTCATTACATTTTTTTTCTTACTGGTTACATTGTGAAGGCCAGTTTATTCAGCACTGGTGCTAACATTGCTTTCAGTTCCAGTCATTAAATAATGAAATGAAGTTGTAGTTGTTAACTGGAAAAAACCATAAAAGTAGATATTCAGATCCATTCAAGCTAACCTATATTATGACTGTATGTACCAACATGCCAAAATCTTTTTATTCAAGGGTTTTCCCAGTAGTATTCTTTCAGCTACTCAGAGATGTTATGCTCTAAAATTATTTTTGGAAAAAAATAGCTAAATTATAAAATTAATTTTTTGAAGCAGGAATTTTTTAGAGTTTTTAAATATGATAAAAAAATCTAAATTTTCAAGCAGGGGGAGCATTATATATATAATGGTTTATATATGTTTTACTGGCTTATATGTGCTTTATAAATGATTTACTGGGCCTGTAGTCACTCTTTATACCCTCAGTGTATGTCTAACCTTGCCACATAGAGAAGAAAGAGTTAACACCCAGGTCAAAGTTGCTCAAATCATGCATATATTTAGAAGGGGCAACTGGAGATTTTGTTCTTAACTAACCTTGACCCATAGCATTCCAGCTTTTCAGGATCATTTGTGGAAAAATTAAGATTTTGAGACACCTGCTTCTGGGAATCTATAGGTTTGATGACTGAACTCTATATTAAAAAAAAAAAAAACTGGACACGTAGACTTGAGAGCTTCCACAGCAAAAAGTACTTCATGCATGTTGCTGCAGTTATTTGCTACGACATTTATTTAGCATGTCTTATGCAACTCCATTGGGAGGGGGCTGTTCTTGGAAATGGATGCATGGTATCCTAAAGACTTCACACCATGTGCTTTGTCCTTTATTAATCACGCTCTGTATTCTGTCACTGTAATAAATCACAGCTGTTTGTAAGTCCTGTAAGTCCTTCCACGGAATCATCAAACCTGGGGAGTACTGACATGCCATTGGTGCCAACTTTTTCAGTAAGTTTGGAGTACATAAAAGACAGCCAGTAGTCAGAGATTTAGAGCAGCAATTAATAACCTATTCATTAGGCATACTTCAAAGTATTTGCAGCATATATAATTATTCACAAAAGACTAAGATATCATAGCTGAGCATACTAACAAACTTGTAGTTAAGATGATCTTAGTTTGATTTTTTAAAGATTTATTTATTTATTTATACTTACAGAACTGGGTACAAGCCAGAGGTGTGGCAGGTGAGAAGATTCACCAGAGACAGAGTGGGGAGCAGAACAGGCAGATTTACTGAAATACACTGCTGAGCGGAGTAGCGGGTGGGACAGGAGAGGTCTACTGTGCCATGTGGGTTCAGCTCCCTGGGCAGGATTGAACTCGTGCTGCACTGGCTTCAGAGAGCTTCATAACGCGGTGCTTTAAACCCCTTGCGCCATGAGGGAGAGCCCTTGTTTGATTACTTTTAAAGACTTTGATTGCAACTGAAAAGAGTATATTATTATATCTTGAGTGATTTTAGAGCCAACAATAGTTTGTACAAGTTTTAAGAAAGGATGAAAGATTTCAGAGGTATTAAATATCCATATTAGATCTTTATAATAACAGATAGCATACAGCTAATCACTTGCTGTGTGATAGACTGATGCTTTTACTTGCATCAATTTGTTTAATCCTCACAACCACCCTATAAAGCAACTAAGAGATATTTTCCACTTCATAGATGAGGAAATAAAGCTTAATAGAGTTACTTGCCTAATATTACATTCTTGAATAAATAACAGCCAAAAATTGAATTAAAGACTAAGCTTTTTATGAAGTCATGTTGTTCTTCACTATTCAGTCTAAAAGCAAAAATTATAGTTAAAATTACCCTCAAAAATCCCTCAAATTCAGTCAATCAATATAGTAAGTTCAACACAGGTTGTTTGTTTGTTTTTTTTTTTAAATCCCTGGAACACATCACTAATTTTAGGGTTGCACATCATAGTATTAATAATGAGCTATGGCCCTCCCTGGTGGCCTACGGGTTAAGTCTCAGTGCCATCGCTTCTATGGCCCGGGTTTTATCCCTGGCCAGGGAGCTAGCCCACATCTGGCATAGTGAGCTCTCCTGCCTTGCCCACTGCTCCCGTCAGCAGTGTATTTTAGTGTATTCGCCTGCTCTGCTCCCCATTCTTGTCTCTGGTGAGTCCTCTCTACTCGCACCTCCTCTGACACCCCAGTTCTACATAAAAATAAATAAAATAAAAATAAGCTATATCACCATCATATTAAGAGAGATATGTAACACTTTAATCCAACTAAGGGCTTAATAGTAAATAAATGTCTCCATCTCAACTCCAGGCAAATGCTTTCTGAATGGAATGGCAAACATTTTTTTTTATTTTTGCATACAGATTTATTTATTTTTCATACAGAACTGGGGTACAAGCCAGAGCTGCAGGGGCAGTGATAGGATCCACCAGAGACAGAGTAGGGAGCAGAGCAGGCAGATTGATGAAGTACACTGCAGAGGGGAGCAGCGGGCGAGACAGGAGAGGTCTGCTGCGCCATGTGGGTCACCGCCCTGGCCAGGGATCAAACTCGTGCTGAAGCAACTCCTGCTAGCTTTGTAGTGCTGCACTTTAACCCATTGTGCCACCAGGGAGGACCCAGAATGGCAAATATATATTTTTGGCAAATATTTTTAACTAAATTTAAAAATCAGTTTCTCTGTTGTCTCTGCCACATTTCAACTACTCGATAACCACATGTGCCCAGTGAATATATATTGGACAGGGCAACTATAGAAGGACATTAATGTTACTGTAGAATCTATTACTTAGCTTTAACATTTAAGAGAAATTTCAATCCCTGGGAATTTATTATTTATAATACTATTTATAAACAGAAAAAAGGAGTTCACCGTTGTACAAAATGCAGACTACAATTTTTGACCTGCAAGGAGAAACTGGAGCACAAGACACAACATCGGACATTTATAAAGCCTAAAGAGCTTGAAGGATTGCCTCCGGGTACAAAAGTGAGTTTTAAGTATATTGTGTTTTAACGTTTTGTGTGATAAAAGAAACAAACTTGTGCCTGGCTTTATCTGTTAAATATAGTATTAAAATTAACTTCTGGTTATTAAGATTTTAATTTTAGGTTTTATTATTTGTGTGCTTGGGAAGAAAAACTTCATTGATTTTTTTTTTTGGTGTGTGGGAGGTGATTGATAAAGTGCTATACTGAAACATATTCCTTTGTAGTAAATGTAACTAGATGAACTGTAGCTTAAGTCCGTGAGTCGTTTCAATATTTTATAGGTTGTTTTTTGGCCCTTTCAGTTGGCATATTTCTGTTTCAGCTGCTAGATTCTAAGGTAGAAATCATGTTTAATTCAGCTTTGTGTCCTAGTATCTGTCATGGTGCCTTAAATGCCACCGTATGTTGACTTGGTTTTACTGAGTCTATTCTCAGAGAAGTAAGTCCTACTTCCGCGTAACATTGTTGTTTTAAATGAGCAAACATGCATTTGACTACAAATTTTCTTTTCCTTCTTTACCTCATGTACATATGTTTTCTCTGACTTCTTTGTATAGTCACTTCTTTACTATTTACTCCAGTGGATGGATGCATAATTTAAAGTGAAATAATTCCCAAATATTTATCTTTGACTTTGAGTACTTACCTGTTAATGTGAACATGTCTGCTATTTCTATGAACTAAATAATGTTAAGCAACGCTCTAAAGATATAGAGTGAGAAAAGCTATCCACTGTCCTTCCCTGAAATCCAGTCAGTCCATTTTGGGACTAGACATGCTAATGTAAGTAGTGCAGTCCCCTCTTACATCTCCCCTTATTAAGAATAATACTAATTAGCATATTATTAATAATGATACTGATGTGTTATAACACTTTAGAATTAAGTTTTCAGTGTGTTTTTTATGTGCATGTTATTTAATTTATGTAGCAATCCAATGAAGTAGATAAGACAGGTATTGTTTCTATTTATAGATGAAGTTTAAGAGAGCAGTAGTTATTTACTCGAGAGCACATGCTTAGGTAGATGTTGTGTTGAGATTCAACCTCTGGTCTTTACTCTTAGTTGAGTTTTTGGTATGAGGCCACACCACACACATTTCATAGGGTTTCCTTATTGACTGCTTCTCTAGCTCATGGGGGTAGGATAGTAAAATTATTAAGAGAAAGTTAACAGTTTTCCATTATTTTCCAGTGGGTATAAGCAAACATTTTCCTTTTCTGAATGCTGAATGAATTTTTTCTAGTTATATTGTGAAGAATTGATATACATCACTAAGTTTAAAGCATATAGAATGATGGTTTGGAAATGATAAATTTTATATTACCTACCTTTAAGGAAATGCTGGATATTATTACTTTCCATGTCATACGATGAATTGATGTAAGCACCACAGTAACCTTTGGAACCATAAATCCTGCCCAGAGAGAACAGGTCACATTTACTGGAGAGCTGTTGTATTGTTACCAAAGAGAAAAATTCATGTAGTTGGCCCTAACTACTAATAATTATCCATTAATATCTGTGTTGACATACACAGACACACACACACGGATACTAAATTTTATTTAATTGGTATGACCATATATAGGACAACAGGAAACTTACATGATTATAGTTCTTGTAATTTTCAAAATAATGATGTAACTTTTTATATTGTCATGATTTTTATAATAACAATTGAGATATATTTCGTTTACCACACAGTTCACCCATTTAAATTATGAAAACATCTTTGCAACCCATTTTAGAATGTGCCTGTAGAAGTTTTGTGTGCATGTTATATGGTAGCTCTTATGTTTAACATTCTTAGGAACTGCTAAACTGTTTTCTAAAGCTACTGCATCATTCTTTCCCACTAGCAATATATGAATATTGCTGTTTCTCTACATCCTTGTAAACACTTGTTTCTGTTTTTTTTTTTATGCCATTCTAGATAGTTTGAATAGCTCTTTGGAGTTTCGATTTGCATACCCTTGATAACTAATGATGTTGAGCATCTTTTCATATATTTATTGGCCATTTGTATATCATCTTTGAAGAAATGCCTATTCAATCATTTGCCCATTTTTAAATTAGGTTGTCTCTTTACTGAGTCATGATAGTTCTTGTATACTGTGTGAGTCCCTTACTAGAGATGATTTACAAATGTCCTGTTCATTTTCTTAGTAGTGTCCTATGAAACACAAGGTTCTAAAATTTATATGAAACCCACTTTTTTTGTTTTTGGTTCTTGTGCTTTTGGTGTCATATTTAAGAAATTATTGCCTAATCCAATGTCATGAAGATTCACTCCTATGTTTTCTTCTAAGAGTTTTATAGTTTTAGCTATAAAACCTCTTACAAGCAAAAGAAACAATGCAACAGAAAGAATAAAATCAGCATAGCTTTGAAGAACTTAAGGTAATATCTTTCATTCCTGATATACAATACTAATGTAACATTAACTATTAAAAGTTTGTTTTGATTAATTTACCATATCACAGAAATGTTTGCACATTTGCATGATTATCACTTATCGGGGATAAAGGCCAAGCAGATACAATAAAAAAGGTACTTTTTAGAACTGCCGAGTTAAGTTTTGGATCTAATGTGAGGTAGGGATCTAAATTCACTTTCTTGCATGTAGATATCTTATTGTTTCAGCACTATGTGTTGATAACACTTTTTATTCCACTGAAATGTTTTGACACCTTTGTCAAAACCATTTGACCATAAGGTGAGGGCTTGCAGTGGTCCTTTTAGCATTAGTGTAATGATTCATTTTCTAAAAATATGTTGCCTTAATTTTTATAGGTGACTATTCGAGCTTCATTTGGACCTCTTCATTCAAGATCATTAACTGCATCACCTAGTAGTGATCCAAGTACTTCTCTTCAGGTCTCTCCTCCAAAATCTAAAATTACAATTGCTGAAAAACCCACAAAACCTAATACAAGCAAATCTAATGTAACTAAATCTAAGGTGAAAAAATCTAAGCCAAGCAAATTTAAGACAAGCAAAATTAAGATAACCAAATGTAAGACAAACAAACCTCGACCAACTACATCCACTGCCAGTAAACTGAAAGCAAGTAAGCGAGGTAAAGGAGCCTCTAGATACAAAGCAAAGACTTCTTACAAGCAAAAGAAACAATGCAACAGAAAGAATAAAATCAGCATTGCCTTGAAGAATTTAAGGTAACATATTTTCCTTGTAATATACAATATAAATGGAATCTTAAATATTAAGTCTATTTCAATATAATTTACTACATCACAGAACTCCCTTATACATTTACGTTAGAATGACTTATCTGGCATAAAAGCTAAGTAGATAATAAAGTGCATTATTTACAATTGCTGGACAGAATTTGAATTCATAATTGTCATCTTTTACACTTTTTCTCTTATTTTGTGGTTAGCTCTTGTGATAATGAATGGGTTAACAAGATCCTTTTTATCGCAGGGAAATATTAAGTGGTATTGGATTTTTATACATATTTAGCTTGTCAAAGCAAAATTTCAAATTATAAGTATCTTTTTAAAGATGTTAATTTAAATATTTGGCTTGTTAATAAGCCTCTAATTAAATTAATAAAACCTAAGGCTTCCCCCCTTACTTTTGTTTTACAATACATTTTTATCACTTTCTTCTATCTCCATCAGGTGTCATCGGGGAATTCACAAGTGCATTGAATGTCATTCCAAAATTAAAGATTTTGCAAGCCACTTTTCAATATATATCCAGTGTAATTTTTGCAAATATAACACTAATTGTAACAAAGCCTTTATTAATCATATGGTAAGGTAAGTTAAACACATGCATTGCCAATCCAAATTGCTATACATTTTAAATGTTTTCAGGGCTTTTATCAAATAAGCACATATAACCACGAGTGCTATTTTCTTCAAAGTAGTCATTTTGAGACTCCAGCTTTGTTGAAGATGCTGAGAACATTAAGTTCATGTGTGCATACACTCCCTCTCTCCTTCCACCTGTTTGTTTCAAGCATCTGTCTTTGCATTCTTTTAGTGAAATATTAAATGAGAGACTATATTCCAGTTGTCATGCTATTGCCATAAGTCCTTTTATGCATCAGTTTAATTTATATTATTTGCATCTATCATATATTCTATGCTTGAGAAAGACTTCAGAACTAATATTCCATGTATCTGTCCCTCAGAAGACGCTTATTTTACCCCTTCAGGATAAATTTATTTTTAAGTAGACAAAATTTGGTCAGATGGAAATATGCCAGGTTAATTACATTACATTTATTTTCAATAAGAAATAAGATATAACTAAGGAAAGTCATTTTCTTGCAGACCATAACAAGACCTCTATTGTTGGTCATAGTCAGATACCACTTTCAAGGACTTGCCTCGTGTGTGTGCGTGTGTGTGTCTGTGTGGCTTTAGCACTCGGCTCAAAGACCTTTCTTCCCCCTTGATGACCCACCATCTTTAGTGTCTGCTTTTCACACCCAGCTCTGCCTTGTATTCCCTTCCTTACCACTGTCCCATTTCACCTTACCATACATAATGTTCATTCATTTTGAATTCATTACCCTGCTACTTTCAGATTCTGGATCCCACCAATACAACTTCAAGGTCAACCTCACCCTCTTTGTCACCTGTTTTTGTCCTGGAACCCTTTCTACCTTCAGTCATATTTAACTTTGCTATCCTTGAATCTCATATTCTGTATGTTCTTTCTATGCTCAGTTCTAGACTACCAATCTACTGTGTTCAGTCATTTCTGAATGTATCATCTTTAGTTTTAATTTGGTCCTTTTAAAAAATACTTCTTTGTTTTATCTACAACATCTGTTGAAATCCTCTTCAGTATCATCAAGCTTTTATTCTAGAGTCTCCATTATTAGCCTTGACTACTAATTACATAGGTCATCCTTTTCATTTTTTTCAAGAGTAACTTTTTTCTACATTTCTTTCCCTCTTTCTTCAGACATTAATCTCAGAAAAATGCATCCCCCACATTTCAAAGTCAACTCTGTCCTTTGTTCATTTTCTCTACAAAATGGTGAAAGTTTGGTGAAGGTTTATCACATTCCTGCACAAGTATTTTAGTTTAACAGAGATTGGCCTTTGACATATTTTCTTGTCTTCATTTTACTGTCAATACAGGTAAAGAATGTCTTTTACTATCTTGTCATTTCTTTATCCTTCATAATTTGAGTATTGCCCTCACTTACCAACTAAAGCCACCCTTGCAAAGGTTGTTAGTCACGTCCTACTCATTCAATGTACTCACTATTTTCCATTCTTACTCCTGTTTTTTCTGGAGTATTTGATACTTTTGGTCAGTTTTGAAACTCTTTCTCAACTTCTCTGAAACTATTGCCAGCATTTTTTGTTCATCGTTAGCTGCTCTTTTCTATTTCATTACATCTTCTTCAACTCGTATTGCTTCTCTACATCCCCTTTCTTAGCGATGCTCAGTTTTATCTTTCACTTTTCAACTGTAAATTCTCCAATTTCATTGTTGATTTTTCCCAAGATCGAATACCATTTGATAGGTAGTTTCATCTTTGATAACACTGGCATCTATGAAGAAAATAAATCAGCAAACCTCTTGCAATTATTTATTTTCCTCTTTATTTATTCATTTATTCATAGGGTCGAAACCTCTATCACCCCACTGTTCTTTAGTACTGTCTCTTCCAAGGCATCATGTACATAAATGTAGCATCCTCTGGAAATAATACACCTTTATGTAACTGAAGCCTGTGCAGTTCTTTCGGTTTGTCACCGTTCATCATGGTTGCCTAGAGTTCACCCTGTGCAGTTCGCCACTGTTTTCCACCTATGCCATGGTTCACAATACCTTGCTTGTGCTAAACTTGGACACAGGCAGTCTTTCGTCTTTCTTTCAGTATACTGCTAGGAAGAATGCATCTCCTATTCTGTGTCAAGCACATGGCTGCCTCGATAGGGCTTTAATTTTTCCCCTAATTTATAGGAGATTAAATTGGAAAATAGTTTTGGCACCTCTTAAATCCTTGGGTGATTCTTTCCTCCAATTTCTATCCTGTCTCTCATTCTTCAGCTGTGTTTATTCCCAAAATATTCCCAATTGGCCATAGGTCTCCTTCATAACTTTTTCCTAACTCTTAATTTTGACTCACCCTCCACCCTGAGTTTCATTATCATTTTACCACTGAGCGCTTACTCATCAGTAGTCTCCCAGGGAACTGAAATCTACTCTTCTAAGGACCTTAGAGGTCGCTTTGCACTTCCCTTATTCAATGTTACCTTATTTCTCGTATTGCCTTAAGTACCTTCCCCTGAGTGGTACACACGCACTCCTGCCCACTGTGAACTTTTGTCATAGGCTCAAAGTCTGTATATACACTTTCCATCTTCTCAGAGTAGAATACCTTTATTCTCAAACCATACTAACTCTAATCAGTAGTCAGGCCCCCCCCCCAAATACCTTAATCTTCCAAAATACATAGGTTGTACCATATTCGATATTTGAAGTGGCTTTTCCTTAGTCTTTGCTGCTATTTGCCCTTCTTCTTCCCTCCCAGTTTACCTTCTTATGTGAATTATTTGATTACCATAGTCATAGAAATCATCCATTTGAGTTCTACCTTATATTAACTATGTGTCTTTCTTATCTACTTGAGAAGGTTTTTTTTTTTTTTCTTTTTTGCCATACACCTATGCTGAGGGTATTTACTTGGGGTTATGACTAGCTAGACACTTTCTTTCCCAGTGAGTACATGGTATGCTAGTGACAGTTACCTTTGCACCCCAAAGATAAGTGTTAAGTGGCTGTTTTGTGTCTGTCAGTGCAATCCAGGGCTTGTCATGAGGTCCTGGTAATCTACAAATATTTTCAGAGAAATATGCTAGAAAATACAAAGATAAAATAAAAATATAAGGTAAAATGTTGAAGTAGATAACTGGTAGAATTTACAAAGACAATTTGTTTTTGTCATTTAAAACTCAAAAATTAAGTATGGATTTGAAATATGGTTATAAAATCAATGACTTATTATATAATAAATTCTTTTGTCTCCCACCCAGCTCTCATAGCAACCATCCAAGTAAACGGTTTTATATTTTTAAGAAGCATTCTGGAACTCTCAGGTAACTAGTTGATCTTTTTCCATTCTTTTTATTGAAAAAAATTAGCAACTTTTTAAATCTAATGCTGGAGTCCCTAGTTAGGAAATGAAATGATTGCCGTGGAACATAATTAAATTGAGTTCTAGTCATCATATATTTTCAGAGCAAAGAATAGCTTCTATACTCTAGTCTCTGACAACTTTATTTCAGTGGTGGTAGGCATTAAGATGAAACAATCATGAATTTACATTATAACATAAATAATCCTCTCCAATAATATTTGAATATTGAAAAGAATTTTTAGCTGCATAGTAAACTAACAGTTCTTTGATTTAGATCAACAGGCAGCCTTCATAATTCTTGGGTTTTTTATATTGAAATAAAGAAAATCACATACATTTTTTATTGTACAAAAGGAGTTGTCAAACACTTCTGAAGGCATTGATAATTCTGGTTATACCACATGCTTAACTCTGAGTCCTAAGCATTTTTCCCCACGTTCTTCTGAACCCCTTTGACTCCTTCTGCCTTTGATTATTTGGCTTATGTTGTCATTGCTATTTGAAATATTACAGTCAAGATCTTTATAGCCCCAGGCTAAGACATAGTCCTTGGTTTAGTCAATATTTGCTTTGATGCTTTGGGCTAGTAGAAAAGTAGAAGAGAGCATGATATGATTCAAGACCTTCGTACTCTCTTGCTCATGGCTGCATGGCTAGCACCCCTCACATTTCCTGGTCTCTACTCCGTTTACAATAGCAACTTCCCCCCGACCTTCACCCACAGGACTCCCTACCTCTCTTTCTTGCTTTAATTGTTTACTATCTAACATATTTGTACTTAACTTAGGTTTATTTTCTCTGTCTTCTTACTAATGTGTCTCTGTCTTTGTCTACTTACATTTGTCAGACATTGAATAGTGCCTGATACATGGTAGGCACTCTGTAAATATTTGCTGAGTAAATGAACATATTTACTGGAAATGGCATATATGGATGATGTTGCACCAGCAGCTCTTAGGCAGAGGAAGGTTTGATTCCATGTTTTAAATATATTGGCATTATTTTAAAAATACTATTAAATTCAATTAGAAGAGAGTAAGCTGCCGTATTACTTTCACTGTGCATTTTATAAGAATAAGAAGGGATTTATTAATTCTAAAGATTGGACTTGGATTTTTATCTCACTGTTGTCAAGCTCAGTTGTACATTTGGTTTGAGATGGTTTCTTCTCAACTTGGATGGGTCTCAAATTTAGATAGAATATTGGTTAATTTTTGCATATGGGATATGCCATATTGCTGATGCTATAGTAGAACAATAAATTCTGTAATTACTATTTTTGTTAAAATGCAGTGTTCATTCTTTAGCTATTTATTTTGCACTTAATCATGTGTAACACAATGAAGCAGGTCCTGTAAAGATGACAGTGATGAAGAAGGCTTGGTACCAGTCTTCAAGGCATGTACAATTTATGATAAAGTGTGAACATAAATAACTACAGTAGCAGTTAATACAAGGAGGTTTATAGTACCTTCCATGAGACTTAATAATTCAAAGGGAGAAGAAATATCTACTTATCAGAGGCACAGGGGCATCCTAGCTAAGGAATTGTATGAATAAAAGTACAGAAAGGGAAAATCAGAAGGTGCACACTGTGAAGAATGAATCAGACAGTTTTGATAGAGCAGGAAGTTTATATAACATACTATTAAGATCAAAGTCTTAATAAATTTGAGCTTAAATCTGGATTATGGAATCATAGAAAACAAGGCTAGGAAATAATGGACCTAATTTTAATTTGGGAGTATTGGGGAGACCACTGGTGTTTTGTGTAAAATCAAAGGTAATGAATGAATTTGGAGAGGCATATAAGGTGACTTCTAACTGCACAGAAACACAGGGAGACCATAATGCAGTGGTATTTAAGAGGTGGTATTCCACTGTATTTAAGAACTTGGGTTCCAGGGCTTATAAACACAGCATTATGAAGCTAGCTGCAGCCACCTCAACACGAGTTCAGCCCCCCGCCAGGGAGGTGACCCACATGGCATGGCAGACCTCTCTTGTATTGCCCGCTGCTTCCCTCAGCACTGTACTTTGTCAGTCCGCCTGTTCTGCTCCCCACTCTGTCTCTCTGTCTCTGGTGAATCCTCTCACTGCCCTTGAACCTCTGGCCTGTATCCCAGTTTTGTATGCATAAATAAATGAATCTTTAAAAAAAAAAAAAAAGAACATGGGTTCTGGAATGAAAGGGCTCTTTCAAACCTTTCAAACCTGGTCCTGGCTGTGGTAGGATACTAAACCTGCCTCTAGCCTCTATTTAAAAAAAAAATGATATGTATAGCACCTACATTTTTTACGTTGTTATAAAATTTAGATGAGTTGGATGATATGTCTAAAACCCTTAGCCTGGCACAGAATAAGTGCTCAATAAATTGTTAACACTATGAAATGTTTAATATATTAACTGTTTTAAGGAAAAAAAGAGAAATAACTATAATTTTGAGCCTTTGTGTCAGGGACATGGTATCGTAAGAGACCAGTCAGGAGGAGTGGATTTTAAGGGTGGGCAGGAAAACACATGGCTTCAATTTAATGAAGATCAGTTTGGATGTGCCAGCGTGACAGCTAGGTAAATACACAACAGGCTGTTAAAACTAGAGCTGCAAAGAAGTCACTCTAAGGTATGGTCCCAGATTTTATTCCTATCAAGGTGAATGCTTAGAATCCTTATATTTTTATGCAAACCTGCAACAGTATATTTGTTTTGTTAATAAGCTAATAATAGCAATAACTATATTGTGTAAATAATTTTTAGAGCCTTCCCTTTTTTTCTAATTTTGTCATCACTTAAATAAGACATTAGATTATAGTCTCCACAGAGTGTACCCTTCGTGGTTCACACTGCATCCACAATATAGAGTACGCAGAGGGCGCTCAGCAAACGTATGTTCGTGAATGAATAGCCTGCCTTTGCAGATGGCCACAGACAAGGAAAGGTTGAGAGTTGCACAAGTTTCACAAGTCATCAGTGGATCTCGTGCCATCCTTCCGATCTCTGAACTTCTATCTTTTAGCAACTAGTACAAGAGGGAACTATTCATAGGGCATTAAGTGTTAGCAAAGCATGATGTTGATGCCATTTCCTGGAGTCCCATTCTGAATATATCAGGCTTGTGTAAAAAAAAACTTGGGAATTGGTGGTCATGGCATGTAAAAAGCAAATCAAGTTATTACTTGGAAAAATAATTATTGAGTTTGGATGTGGATTCTTATAAAAGATAAAAACCTTTTCTTTCTGCCTTATTTTTTTCATAGGGGCATTACTCTAGTGTGCCTTAAATGTGATTTCCTAGCTGATTCTTCTGGTTTAGATCGTATGGCTAAACACTTAAGTCAACGTAAAACTCATACTTGTCAAGTAATAGTCGAGAATAATGGTATGTATATCTATATATAAAAAATAGTGCTACTTTGAGTTTCTGATACTCCAGTATTTTTGATCAGCCACAGTATGGACTCTTGTGTATTAATTTGATGGTTTCACTTTTATGCTATTTTGAATGTAAATTCTTCCTCTGATTTCAGTTCCTGAAAGTACCTCAACTTCTGAACCCAGTTCTGAGTAAGTTTAATTTTCACTCAGTGCATTTTTCTTGGATGAATTTTAGCACTGTTGCATTTTAAAAATGTATCGTTAATAGAAATCAAACATATTGAAGTGTTTTGTTTTTGTTTTTAAAGCCGCTTGTTGAAATAGATTCCTGCTTTATGGAGCTCGTGCAACCTGGTGCAAGACAAGTTGGAAATTCCTAAGTTCAAAGTTCTGAAGTGTTTTCTTACATGAGAATGGTTAAACAGCCAAGTTCATGACACTAGCTTTCATTATTCAGCTCTTTGCAGCATTTAGATGGCACTAGATTTCTTACTTCACCTTATCTTGGTGTCAGGTTAAGATATCTTAACATATGCTTTTTTTCTCCAGTTGGCTTTCTCCAAAAATAACCTTTGTTGCTATGGTCTTTTCTTGCGCTGCTTAAAATAGTGTTTTCTCTGCTGTACTTGCCTTCAGAATATTGCATTTCAAATGATATGGCTGTTCATCTTTTTGTCTGTTTTGTCTGTCTTATAAGTCTTAGATTTTTAGGTCAGATAGCTGTCTTTTCTCTTATCTCTTGTCTGTCATTGTGCTATTTTTAATATTTTTCAGATGCAGAAACAACACAAATTTCAAAAAATGTTCAGGGTACTCCTGGTCAGTGTCCCCCTTCGATGGACACAACTGATGCCTGTTTTCTCTTTCCAAGGAATGTGAATTATTTGACTGTGAGACCTCCTCTAGGTTGTGGCCTTAAGAAATCAGATTTTGGGGAGAGTCTCTTTCTCCATGACTGGCCTCCCATAGGCTAATGTTAATTTGGCCAGAGATGACCTCAAGGGTCAAGATGACCCAGATTGAGCACAACTTCCCATTGGGGGCTTTGGTTCTTGATCTTAATAAGCTTGTGGGTTGATTCTGACCAAGAAAAGCCCATCAAATCACTGCTTCAACATCCAAGTTGAAGTTTAATCACTTTGGCTGCTGCCCTTTACTCTTCCTGTAGCATGCATGCAGTCCAGGGGACATAAAAACTGGTTGTGTAGGGAACTAAAGTTCTTTCATATTCTTGGAAAACAAGTTTTTAAATTACAGTTCCAACATTACAGTTATTTGTACTATCTAAAGTTTTATCCAGTATTAACCCTAGGAGTTTTCAGCTATACTAATATTCAATTTTTTTAAGTTTCATTTAATTTTGTTAACTTGGCTTTATGTTGTTCCTCACGAATTTATTAATGTCTGTTTTGTTATGTCCACCTTTAGTTCTTCTCCGTAAAACCTTTGTGTTTGCATAACTCTAAGAAATTCCTTAAAATTCTCTACAGATTTCATGTATTATTAATTTGATGATTATTCAGAAAGTTAGATATTACTCCATCCTCAGTCTATTGTGGGACTATCAGTAACATTATTTTAGTGACTGTGAGTTCAAACACATAAAAACAATTGGCAAAGAGTCTTTCCTACACACCTTAAAACAAGTTTTAAAGTTACATTTCTGTACATCTAACACATGATATCTTTTTAGCCACTAATGTAATTCCTTTGGATAAAGATAATATATTCAAAAATATTGGGACCAAAAAATGCACTTGTTTCTTGCCCATATATATATATAGATGTATATTTTTTTTAATTTGGTGTTTGTTTATTTTGGTTACATTGAATATAGATTTGCTGGACAGTTTTGATGTTATTACTTATTTTTTTAATAAAATTTGTATTGTTAAAGTTCCTTGAGAATTATTTTCTAATAACTTCATATAAAAACTGTAGAGCTACTGAATTATGGCCTCCCAAAATTTATATCTTGAAGCTCTAAGTCCTGATGTATTTGTATGTGAAGATAGGGGGTTTAGGAGGAAATTATGACTAAATAAACCCAATCGTATTGGTGGCCAAGGGGAAGAGAGAGATTGCTCTCTCTCTTTCTGTGAGCACATACGAAGGAAAGGCCATGTGAGGACACACTGAGAAGGTAAGATGGCGTCTGCTGGCTGTCTGCTACCCTTCCCTTGGACTTCCAGCCTCCAGCACTGTGAGGAAATAAATTGCTGGATTAAAAAACAAAAGCTGTAGGTTTTATTCAATAACTGGGAGCATTCCTTCACGTCTAACGGGGAAACCTGATTACTTGTCTGGACGATTAGAGAACTATATCTGCTGAGATTATCTTGCTCCAGCAGTTTGCCTTTTATAATTTATGAATTTCTTAACTCTTTTTTAAAAAGATTTATTTATTCGTACAGAACTGGGGTACAGGCCAGAGACGCAGAGGGTGAGAGGATTCACCAGAGACAGAACAGGGAGCAGAACAGGCAGATCTACGAAGTACACTGCTGAGGGGAACAGCGGGTGGGTCAGGAGAGGTCTGCCTCGCCATGTGGATCTCCTCCTGGGCAGGTGGGGATCAAACTCATGCGGAAGTGGCCTAACCCGCTGAGCCACCAGGGAGAACCCAATTTCTTAACTTTTAAAAGTCACTAAGAGTTTCTTTGTGATTTAAGAATCATGAAGGTGGGTAGGCTTTGAAGTCATTTACTCAATTATCCTTTTTTTTTTCCTCTTCACATCAGAATTTCTTGAATTTTACTTTGAGACTGTCTTTGTCTATTTGGGCTTCTATAGCAATACCATAGACTAGGTGACTTGTTAAAAAGACTTCTCAGTTCTGGAGGTTGGGACGCCCATGGTCAATACACATGGTCTGGTGATGGATGACATAATTCCTGATCCCTCTTCTTCTTGCTATGCCCACATATGGTGGAAGGGGCAGAAGAGTTCTCCAGGATGCACCTTATCAGGGTACTAACCGCATTCATGAGGTCTTCACCCTTGTGACTAGATCACAAGACCTTTGAGTCTTGTCACATTGAGGGTTAGGTTCCAGTATGAACTTGAGGGACTCACACAACTCTTTAGTCTATAGCAGAAACACACTGAGAGCCAGTTTCAGTGGACAGTTGTGAGGTGTCCTACTCCTCACCACTCATGATTGAGGGTTAAGCCCACTAAGCCCACCTGGTTTCATTTGCCAGACTGATTTCAGCTGTAAATGATTTTTCAAATTTATCAGAAGTGGCTTATTTCTTAGCAGTGGACTTAGTGATAAGTTAATCTTTGTCTCTAGGATGTTTTTTCATCACACTAGCCATTTTTTCCTAACTTTTCCATAATTGTGGTTAAATTGTGGATAACAGAATTTGCCACTTTAACCATTTTGTTTTGATTGAATGCCATTGTTTTACATCCACATTACAGTTTTGACATTATAGGATTTCCCCTGAGTGTAGTCACTATTCACTCCCACCTCCCTATTTTTCATTCTGACACCCACCCCCACCCTCACGCGCACACACCACTTTGACAATCATTTTTGTTAACCTTTCTTTTCCTAACCCAGGCTGGCTGTCTTGAAAGTCACGGTTGAAGCACGTAATACCAAAAGTAGGCACACCGTTAGCATTTTTGTCTTAAGATCACTAGGATTCTATTTTTAGAGATGCCCCCAAAATGTTCATTTGAATCATAACCGTCTCTTATAAATAGTATTAAGATATTTTCTCAGACCTCCATGGTTGTGCAGGGGTTATTCAGCTCTAGCAAGCTATCATCAGCCACTGAGAAGTGAGTTCCATCCCCAACCAGGGAACTGACTCACATGACGGGGGCAGACCTCTTGTCTTACCTGCTGCTCCCCTCAGCAGTGCCTGTTCTGCTCCCCATTCTGTCTTTGGTGAATCTCCTCATGCTCCCCATCTTTGGCCTACACCCTAGTTCTTGTATGCATAAATAAAATCTTTTTTTAAAAAATATTTTCCCTAGAGGATACTGCCTTGCGCTTAGCCACACCATGGCTCTCCTCACGCTCATACTCATAAAGTGCCCTTGTCTGATTTGGAGGTGCACCTGCAGCCTCACTCTTGTCATGTTGCTATTCATCCATGTAGGAAAACGTGCTGTCACCAGCCAACCCAGAGAGGCCACTGTGCATCTCTTCAACTGTTTAGAATTCTCGCTCTGGAAAAATACCCAGTTTTTTTCGGATCACTGTGATGCATGGCAATTTGAAGGGACCTTAGCCTTGAGTGAAGACAGCCCTATGTTTAAATCCTGGCTTTATATCTAGTTAGCTGTGTCACTTCTAGTAAGTTACCTAAACTTGTCAAGCCTCGGCTCTCTTACTAGTGAAGTGTATAAAATAATTCATTTCTTGCAGTTTACTGTAAGGGTCAGAAATAATAAATTTTATATTAAAACATATACAAATTTCTGTTAAAATGTATATATAAAATTTGGCACTGGCCTGACAAAACCAGGCACTCAATAAGTGCTGCTGACTCTGTCACCACGAAAGTGAATGCTATTCCTGTCACTGTTCTGGCTGCTGTTGGCTATCACAGCTGCTATTACTACTGCTGAGCAGATACCCAGGAAACTACACAGCAATGGACAGCTGTGATGAGCCATCAGCACTGCCGTTATCTGTAGTCATCGTATAGTTCCCAGGTGGATGGCATGGTGCTTCAGTCACCTGTGGTAAAACACTCTAACACTGGAAATGAGTGTAGTTCCAGTTTTTCTCATTAAAAGATTATGAAATGGTATCACTTGTTGAAAACCAAAACAGTCTATCTGATTAAGTATTAGTCAATTCTGAGGAATTTTCTGGAGGAAAGGATTCCTTTCTGCACTTAGTGCCTTCTTTACAGGAAACTGGTAATTATTACTAGGAATTCATTTCCAACAATCTCAGCTATTAGTCCAATATTGTTAATCATATGAAAAAGTGTACTTGTAAAACCAGCAGTAATGTGTAGCCTATCTTTTTGTAGGGCTTTGAACTGCTTTGTTCAGTATCGCTATTCTTCCTCAGACTTAGGGTTGCTTACCCCTTTTCCCTACCTTTCCCTTCCTGCATCTTCTCCGTGTATATCTGAATAGATTCATTAGGATGTAGACTAGAGGGAACATTTTTTAAGTTGTACATGTTTCTTTTTCTTGATAAAATGTTGAGAATAGAATGGGATATTTGTATTTACCTAGCAAGTTAGAGTCTCAGTAATCTTTGGGTAAGTCAGTAACTATGTCAAGGTTAGGAAACTAGGATACTTAACCAGTTCCTGATTGTTGGTTGGACCAAATCACCTAAAGACTAAAATTTGAAGAGATTTTAAAAGTTTATGTAATTCTCTTGGGGGCTTCCAAATGAGTTTGTAATCAGATTACCTCAGTTTTTAACTTTTAAAACAGAAGATTAAAAAAATTATTCAACAGTTTTATTTTTAAAACTGAGTGGGAAAACCTGAATGATCCTCATTTTTGTTTCTTTCTAGTGCTCTTTATATTAGTACAACTAAAACACATCTTTAAACAAGTGCTTATCCACAAATTTCGTGTACATTACCTTATTTAAATCTAAAAAAAAAACCCATGAGGATGGTTTTCAATCATTTTACAGATGAGCAAACTGGGCTCACTTGCAACTCTGAAGCAAAATTGTCTCAGGAAGTCAGGAAATACTGACCTGTTTCATATTACAGCACTGTTCTCCCTGTCCTGCTTTTAGTCAATTTGGAGAGTTTTCTTTAATGGAAGAGCTGCATATTTCAAATTTCTATTCCATAAGCTAGTCAGCAATCCTTATCTAGTGGCCTAAAATTTCATTATCTTCATAGATGTCTAATAATGTCTGTGGCCATTGGAAAAAGCTACTGTGTTATGTTATTACTGTAGTTCACCCAATTCGGAAAGGTTCTTTGGGGTTATTTCTTCCCATCTCCTAAATGATACAAGAAGCTCTTCTACCTCTTTTTGAAAAGTTCCAGTTGTTAGAGCTGGACTCTTTCAGACTCCTCGCCCCTGGCCCCGCCCTCTCCCCAGGACTGTTTGCTCCCCAGGTGCCTACACAGCTCTAGAGCCTGTGCCTGACCTAAGAGTGACTTCACCAGCTCAAGCCTAATCACTAGCACCAACTCCCACCTAGTTCTTCAACCTGAATGCAGCAAAGGCAGAGCTCCCAATCTAAGACCCAGGACGATGTCCTCCACTTAGGCCTCGGAGAAAGAGAGATGTTAAGGAGTTATCCCTGTGGTTCCTGCCCTGCGGTTAGACAGACCTGCTCTAACTCTGGACCAGCGGTGGGGCTCTGGGCAGGCTGATTCATCACTCTGCTTCAGAAGCTATGTGAGGATTAAGCATGATCGTACATGTTAAACCATGACAGGCTACTTAGCAGTGCGTAGTGACTAGTCGATGTTAGCTGTCACTCATACTTGTCCTCATTTCCGTTGGAGGCATAGAGACTGAAGACTAGGCTAGGTCTTATGTCATCCTTCCCACCGAATTACCTCCTGGAAGGAGAGGCAAGACAAGCAACAATAGGGGTAGGTTGGTAAGGATCAGATACAGCCCAGGTTTCCTGGCTGTGCCCCTAAGTCTCTGCCTCCAATACATTAAATCGCTAGGGAAGGGATTAAGGGCCAAGCACGAGTCAGTTCAAGTCACAGAGTCCATTTCGCAGTTTATTCAACAGCACATGGTATAGGGGAGTCTCCCTGCGCCTGCATTGGTCTCCCTTAAGATCGCTAGGGTACTTCCCCACACAGCTTCAAAGTCTTTGGGCAGGTGAGTTGCTGTTCAATTCTCCCCTCCCTGTTTCCAGGCTAGTAG